ATAAAAACCATCAGCCTTGCATGGTAGTTGCTAGAGCACTTCTCTCCACATTTCGAATGCTTATGATTTTGAACAAGATATTTTAATCTTTTCAATCATGCTTTCCAGATACACAGTAATTGCGAACTTTCAAATGCTTATCATATCAAGTAACAAGACAATCTGATGGCATGCAATGCAACCGCTTCTAGTATTGTTTGCACTTGTTGCCGTAGAATTTGGTGCTAAAAAGAAAATGATAGTTTCGTATGCTCTCCACTGAGACAGTGCTCTGTGTTGTGCAGTCCATGCCAAGGTTCCAGCCAGAGAACTTGGGCTCACAATGCAAAGTTGTTTGACCGAGTGAATGAAATTGCGCAAAGAAAGGGATGCACCCCGTCGCAGTTAGCCCTCACCTGGGTACACCACCAGGGCGACGACGTCTGCCCAATTCCTGGCACAACCAAGATCGAGAATTTCAACCAGAACATTGGAGCTCTGTCGGTGAAGCTTACACCAAAAGAAATGGCCGAGCTGGAATCGATTGCTTCTGCGGACAATGTCAAGGGTGGCAGGTACGCAAGCAGCATACCTACATGGGAAAACTCCGATACTCCACCCCTTTCTTCATGGAAAGCTGCTTAGAAACATGTCTGCTTCTGTTGCCGTATCTTTTATATGCAAAAGTTTGAGCATTTGCTGCTAAAGTATTTTAAGGCAATGTTATGTCTGTTGTAAGTACGTGTACGAAGAGAGTACTTGTTATCCTGTAATAAAATCTGAACTTCATGGAGTAACTGTTATCATTTTGTAAAAATGACATTCACTATGAGAAGATTATTGATGTGTAGTAAGCTTATCGGGGGAAGATCACTCAAGAAACACAGAGCGAGTTGAATACTAACCGAGCCCGCCATGCCAATTCATCAGGGTGACTGAGAATCATGAAACTGGGATTTCGAGGATTTCAACTCCTCCATACATACTAGAGTGACACTTTGTTCACCTCAACCACGAATTCAATACTTAGACCGTGTACAACGTTTTCTCGGGATTGGATACTAGACAAAGAAGCAATGCTAAGAGGCACGTTTTCTAGAACAGCACCATTGCTTCTCTCGAAAGACCGTCGAGGTCTCCTATGGCACTGTCGGGAGAGCCTCGATCGATCATCATACTTATCAAGAAGGTGCCCATGTGTGGAGTTTCTTGCTAGTTGCTATACATATGGAGTTTCGACTCTTTTCTGACAAATTTTCTTACAGAAAAAGAACCATAAGAGATTTTGAGCTTCACACTTGTAAAAAGGGCATTTCCTCACGGGAAGTGTGGATACTGTGAACTTGAACTTTTTTTTTATCTGTCAATATTAAATGGACAAATTCCGTTGGACAAGTACCAAAGAAGCTTGTCGGTCATATTATCATACTGTGTGTAATAAGAGTCTTACTCTTTGTCAAAATCTTTTTAGTATTGTCATTTCGTCTAAAAAAGCATCTTACAAGATGCATGTGTCACGGGCCGGCAGTTCCTTGACCGTGAAATAGTTCAAGGGAATTACGGTCCGTGATACATGTGTGTTCTTTTGCATCTAGTGTCTATCTACAGTTTGTAATATCGTTCTAAATCATGTACTTGCACTACTAGTGTATTTCCCGACGAAGTTGAAGAAGATCAGAGTTTGAAAAATTCCATTTATATACCCTTTGCCTTTCTAAACACTTTTCTTCTCTTCCTCAAAGTCCAATGTCATTAAAAGCTTAGGCTACGCTTGATAGTCGGGATAAAATTCATCGGGATAAAATTCAAGATATGATATCTTTTATCTAATCCCGTGTTTGGTGCTTGTCCAAGACATGATAAAGTCGAATATATGAGAGATATGGCCCGGATAAAATTATCCCATTGGGGAGGTGGGATAAGGGTGGATAGGATTTCTAATATCCATAATATAAAAGTTATTTTTCTTGAATAACAAACTTATTAAATTAATGATATTTAAATAATATTTAAATTTTAATATAAAAAATTCAAAATAACAAAAAACATAAAAACAATTTCGTTTTTATTTATTCTCTATTTTTATTTATATATTCAAATTTCTTCCTATCTTATGATATAAATTTCATATACATTAATAAATGCATTTATTATTTATATTTATTAAATATTTTAGGTATATTAGTATAGTTTACTAATTAATAAAATTTTGGGTTAATACCACGAAAAACCTTGAACTGGTACACTTGTGACAGATTTACCCCAAACTATTTTTTTGACCATAAAAAACCCCAAACTGGTACATCTGTGACAATTTTACCCCAAACTATTTTTTTGACCGCTAAAAACCCCAAACCGGTACAACTTTTGTGATAATTTTACCCGAACTATTTTTTGACCACTAAAAACCCCAACTGGTACACACTGTGACAATTTTACCCGAACTATTTTTGACCATCAAAAACCCCAATCTGTACACTGTGACAATTTTACCCCGAACTAATTTTTTAATATTTTTTTTTTATTTTTCGAATTTTTTTAGTTTTTCTTTTCTTTTCTTTTTCCTTTCCTTTTCTTTTTTTCTTTCCTTCATCTTCATTGGACCAACAATGGATTGTTATATTGTAATTGATACCACAATAACGTGACACGTAACATAAATGCTACATTTTGACCCAAAAAAAAAAAACATAAACGCTAAATGAAAGACTTTCTTTTATATGCATGAATTTTCATGCCAACCACTTTTTTCTACATTTAAATGTCTCGCGAAAAAGGCATTATATTGTTGTCGTGTCTTTCTTATTTTTGGGTGCAAGTGGATAGGCAAACTGGTGGGGTCCAACGTAGGCTTGTTACCTAAGCTTGGAGTACAGCTAATCAACAATTTCTATACGTCTTGCTTGCCAATTTAATTTAACAGATTAATTTACAAAATTAGTATATTTTATATATAAGATGAGAGATATTATATGTGCATGGCGATTCATAAATCAATATGATCACTTGAAATATATAATAAATAAAACGTGAGACATTTAAATGTAGAAAAAAGTGGTTGTCATGAAAATTCATGCATATAAAAGAAAGTCTTTTATTTAGCGTTTATGTTTTTTTTTGGGTCAAAATGTAGCATTTATGTTACGTGTCACGTTATTGTGGTATCAATTACAATATAACAATCCATTGTTGGTCCAATGAAGATGAAGGAAAAAAAAAAGAAAAGGAAAGGAAAAAGAAAAGAAAAGAAAAACTAAAAAAATTCGAAAAATAAAAAAAATAATATTAAAAAATTAGTTCGGGGTAAAATTGTCACAAATGTACCAGTTTGGGATTTTTGGTGGTCAAAAAAATAGTTCGGGGTAAAATTGTCACAGGTGTACCAGTTTGGGGTTTTTGGTGGTCAAAAAAATAGTTCGGGGTAAAATTGTCATAGATGTACCAGTTTGGGGTTTTTTATGGTAAAAAAAATAGTTTGGGGTAAATCTGTCACAAGTGTACCAGTTTAGGGTTTTTCATGGTATTAACCCTAAAATTTTATTAGAGAATGATGGAAGGGGAAAAAGAAATAAAAAATAATTAATTGAAAAAGAGATGGAAAATTTATAAAAAAAATAAGCAAATAAAAATGAAGTAGGTAAGAGTGTCGTGAGAGATATTTATCATCTCCGTTTGTGCAATTTTTAGGTTCATTTACACTAATATGATGTTCATAACAAATAATGGATATGATAAGATGTGAAAATTCCGATTTTAATACTACAATTCACCAAACAATAGATAGAATATAGCAAATCCCTTAGATTTCATATTCTATCATATCTAGTCCTATCCTGGTTAAAAATCTAAGCGACCAAACGCAGTCTTAGAGTTACACTATTAATCCAACACAAAGAGTTGTTTCCGCAAATATGCTCTTCACTACCACTCTGTAGATCTTGTAAACAAAAAAGCCCAAGAGCCTTATAGTATAGATCAATTATTTCTAGAGACTAAAATGCAATCCCTTTTGAAAGTCAAAGAAGGACCGTGTGGTGTGGGATGACATAATTGTCTCAGATAATTATTAGTTTATCATAGACACCTTGTAGTCAAAGCTCTAGCTCATAGTCACGAGTTTGCGATACAATGTGAAAATCTAAAAAAGAGATACTTGTACAAAAAATACGAAAATAAGTTGGTTTATTAATAGTATGTGATAATAATCCAAGTAGAGTTGGCGCAATTAGTTAGAACGTCGAGAGATTTCTAGCTTGGAAACCGGATGTCATCTCTTCCATTATCACCACCAACATTGTATTGACATTCGTGTCCCCGAAATTTTTAATTTGTCTAATATGGTTCTTGAACTTTTGATATATGTTCAATTTAGTCCTTGAAGTGTATGAAATTATTAAATGTTGTTCCTCAACTTTTAATTTATTTAATGTGGTTTATGAACTTTTGGTACATGTTCAATTTAGTCTTTAAACTGTATTGAAATGTTCAAATTTGTCCCTGAACTTGAATTAATGGATAGATAACATTGAATATTTTTATACAGTATAGGGACTAAATTGACCAAAAGTCCGGGGACCACATTAAACAAATTAAAAGTTGAGAGACGACGTTGCACATTAGGTTAAAGTGCGGGGACCACATTGCACATCTGAACAAAGTTTATGGACTATTTGTGTCATTATTCCTACCTTTTTTGAATAATCATGGTCAATCGATACTTAATTTGGACGCGCTTTTAAGTTACACGATTACTTTTGTCAATGGAAATAATATTGTACACCAATTACAAACGTACTTTTTAAAAAAAAAAAATATAATAGCGCAACGAAATCTCGAAGGTTTGAAATTTTGGACCTTATGCAATATGCTTTAATAAGTCCTAACTACGATTATTTTTGTCAGGTCAGCATTTTTTTGGATGGGCCGTTGGCCAATGGGGAAGTAGGTGACGAGAGCCTAACGTCAGCACGTGCGTCTTCCGCAGTCTGCCGCTGACTCTGCAACTCCTACAAAAGCTCCGTCGTCTCTGTGCATCTGGGAGTGATCGAGCGAGCTCTCGAACCGTTTCTTCTCCGTTCTCTTCTTGCACCGACGTCGAGCTAGACGACGGCGGCGATGGCTGCGTCGACGGTGAGGAGGATCAAGCTGGGGTCGCAGGGTCTCGAGGTCTCGGCGCAGGGGCTGGGCTGCATGGGGATGTCAGCCGCCTACGGCCCTCCCAAGTCCGAGCACGACATGATCGCGCTGCTCCACCACGCCGTCGGCTCCGGCGTCACCTTCCTCGACACCTCCGACATCTACGGCCCCCACACCAACGAGATCCTCCTCGGAAAGGTCAGTTTTCTTGGTTAAGGCTTGAGCGTGTTAAGGGTTGAGTGTGGTTTTCTTGATGGTGATTTGGTGTCGATTTTGAGCAGGCGCTGAAGGGAGGAGGGGTGAGACAGAAGGTGGAGTTGGCGACCAAGTTCGGGCTCGGCTTCGCGGACGGGAAGTGGGACGTCCGGGGCGATCCGGCGTACGTGAGGGCAGCTTGTGAGGGCAGCTTGAAGCGGCTCGACATCGATTGCATTGACCTCTACTACCAGCACCGTATCGACACTCGGGTCCCCATCGAAGTCACTGTACTGATCCTCGTTAAACCTTTGCCTCTCTGAGCCATATGATCAGTTGCTAAACTAGATTGGTGTTGATGATGAATGGTCGTGTTGTTAATGGTTTGTTGGATTTTATGACAGAAATTGAGTATTGCCTTGCCTTTTGACTTGTGAGATATTGTTAAATGAGGCTTAAGTTCAGTTGATAGTTGAGGTCGAGATACGGCACAAGGTTGTATCAGAGGTCGTGGAATTTAGTATTTTAGTGGCTGAATAGTGAGGGAACACATACAAATTTCTGGATCTTAACATGTAAGGTTCTTGACTGTTGTTGTTATGTTGTCTGAATATTCAAAGATTGGAGAGCTAAAGAAACTCGTTGAAGAGGGTAAAATCAAGTACATCGGTTTATCGGAGGCCTCTGCGTCAGCAATCAGAAGAGCACATGCTGTTCATCCCATCACAGCTGTGCAATTGGAGTGGTCGCTGTGGTCAAGAGATGTGGAGGCAGAGATCATTCCCACATGCAGGTAAGAAATCACTCCGTTGAAATTGTTTATGCAGTAACAACAGCTTTCTTCTGACTCTGCTCTTCCGCGACATTGTGACTAGGGAGCTTGGGATTGGAATCGTTGCATACAGTCCTTTAGGACGAGGATTCTTTTCTGTTGGTTCCAAGTTGTTGGAGAATCTCTCCAAGGATGACTTCAGACAGGTCTGTTTCTGCTAAACAACAAAATTAGATGCTGACAGTGACAGTCATTCTTATTAAAGTGCTGGATACTTACTTGTTCTTGTGGTATCCAGAAAAAGTATCTGGATGATATGAATAACAAATTTTTACTGTAAAATCATAATCAATAGCTTAATGAGCCTGAAAGGGCAATTTCCCGGATTCTCATGTTTCTGGAATGAACATATCTAGATTTATTTGTAAGTTCCTCTGTTTCTCAGCCTTCCCACCATTTTCTATTCACTATCGTTTTCCCACTTTCCACCCATCCTTTTTCTCTCATCTTCCTTTACAAGATTACGATATCTCCTCCATATAACTGACACCAGTATCCGGCCTCGGGCCTCCGTCCTTTTTTATACTCATCTTTCTTCACAAGGTAAATTGTATCTCAACACAACCCGTTCTTGAGTGAGGACTCCCTCACACCCTTATTATTGAAACTTTGGGATCAAGTTCCCATCTTTACATAGAACCAATTGTGGGTTACTGCCTGCAGCTAGTGTTTGACTAGTGATTGCACCAGGTGAAGTAGCTATTCTTTTTTAGCTAAATAGAGCCTTACTTCCGATAATAGTCTTTTACATATCATCTGGATTTGTGATTTCTTTCTTTTAAGTGTGATAAATGGATACCATCACACGTAGAAAACTTCGATTGTCGATTTTATTTTTGTTGTCACATTTTACATCAAAACCATCAGCCTTGCATGGTAGTTGCTAGTGCACTTACACTCCACATTTCGAATGGTTATGATCTTGAACTAGATATTCCAATCCTTTCAAGATAATCTTTTACTAATCATGCTCTCCACACAATGATTGCAAACTTCCAAATGCTTATCATATCAAGTAACAAGACAACCTGAGGGCATGCAATGCGATCACTTCTAGTATTGCTTGCGCTTGTTGCAGTAGAATTTTGTGTTAAAAAGAAAAAATGATAGTTGCTCAAATGCTCTCCGCTGAGACAGTTCTCTATGTCATGCAGATCCTACCAAGGTTCCAGCCAGAGAACTTGGCTCACAATGAAAAGTTGTTTGACCAAGTGAATGAAATTGCGCAAAGAAAGGGATGCACCCCATCGCAGTTAGCCCTCGCCTGGGTACACCACCAGGGCGATGATGTCTGCCCGATTCCCGGCACAACCAAGATCGAGAATTTCAACCAGAACATTGGAGCTCTGTCCGTGAAGCTTACACCGGAAGAGATGGCCGAGCTCGAATTGATTGCTTCTGCAGACAGTGTCAAGGGTGGCAGGTACCAGAGCGGCTTCTCTACATGGGAAAACTCCGACACTCCACCCCTTTCTTCATGGAAAGCTTCTTAGAAACTTGTCTGCTTCTGTCGCTGCATCTTTGATATGCGGAGTTTGAGCATTTGCTGCTAAAGTATTTTGAGGCTAATGTTGTGTGGCTGCTATAATTATGTGTAAGAAGAGAGTACTTCTTGTCCTGTAATGAGATCTGAACTTCAGAGAGAGTGTGACATTCAAGAAGATTATAGATGTGTAATAATAAGCTTACCGGGGAAAGATTACTCGGGAACACAGAGTGAGTTGAATACTAACCGAGCCCGCCGTGCTGATTTCATCGAAGTAACTTTTAGAATCCAGAAATCGAGATTTCGAGCAATTCGAACTCATTCATACATACTAGTGTCACGGCTCAGCAGTTCTTTGGCCGCAGAATAGCCCGTGCGGCGCCCGATTAACCGAGAACACTAGGCCAACCCTCTTTTTATAAATGTTCCTAAGAACATTATGGCGAATCGCATTCTCGTATTGCATCGTACCATACTCAGCTTAGCTAGGGCATCTAGTCCCTCAAGCAAGACACGCAGAATGTTTTAGGCACAAAAATTGGTTTCGGCCTACCATGGCCTCGTTAGGAAAGCGGTATCAGCTCCCGATCAGTTTGTGCACGAGAGGCTAACCCTGCCTTCAGATCACCTAAGGTATATTCATTCTAACCTAGAACTTCTAACACAAATTACCCTGACGTCACTCTCACGAACCATTTGTATTATCCTCTCTGCATCACTTACTCTTCATCCCGATAGCACCAATCCACTAATAAGGGTACGCGAGTATGAGAGAATCACGATCCGTGACATTCTCCCCCACTCAAGTCCATAATGCCCTCGTTGTGGGTTTGTCTATCGCTTTCCCACGTTTCCTGACCATCAATGCCACTCCCTGGGACTTACATGAATGACAACGCTCACCCAACGGATAATGCCACTCCACTCCTCTCCACTGGTATTGGAAGCTTCCCTCGATCAAAGCTGTTCGCAAGTCTCCAATCACTTGTGCTTCTTGACTGCACTCCCTTGGCAACACCTTCTTTCGCAAACTAGGCTTTTCCTGATCTCAGTGGGCCAATGGAGGGTTCTCCCCTTATCTGAAACTTGATAACATACCTCATCTTGAGATTTACCAATTGATCCATGAACGTTATTCCTATTCAGTGAGAAATTCGACTCCAACCTATGCCCCATTACCATCCTAGAAGTTAGACGATAGGACTAGGAATACCATAGGTTTTCCTTGAATCACCCACCTATTGGAGAGATCCTTGCTTTGATACCATTTGTCACGGGTCGGTAGTTCCTAAGTTGCGGAATAGCCCGTGCGGCACCCGGCGAACCGAAAACACCAGACTAGCCTTCTTTCCATAGTTGTTCCTAAGAATAGTACAGCGAATCATATCATTGTATCGTATCATACCACGCCTAGCTTAGCTTGGGTTCTAGTCCTTCGAGCAAGACACGCAAAACTCTTTAAGCACAACAATGGGTTTTGGCTTGCCATTGCCTCATCAAGAGAGCGGCATCAGCTCCCAACTAGTTTGTGCAGGGGAGAGCAACCCCGCTTTCATAACTCCTAAGAGAACTCCTAAGGTATATATATTTAGGGGTTTCAGGGTGGGTAGGGTCCAGAACTGGAACCTACCCTGTTATAATCGGTTTTCGAATTTTGGAACCTGAAACCTACCCTGTTTTTCCGGTCTGGTTCCAGGGTCTACCGAGAACCGTTTTTTTTTTCCTTTTCAGGTTTCATTTTTTCACACAGCATCTATGTTCAAGAATGCCACCACCTACGACCACAAAGACACTAACCGAGGGCCACCACCTACGACCATCTATGCACACAGCACGGAATAGGCGGAGACGAGATAAAACGAGAACAGAAGCGACGACATAATTCATCAGAGGAACAAAACAATACATGGGCACTCAGATTTGGCAAAATATGAAGAACATGAGGACGAAACTAGTTTAGGCATTTTGATGAACATATGGGGTGCACCGGCTAAGAGAGAAAAACCGAGCCGATTGAGGCTTCTGACTTGTGCTGGGACTCACGACAATCAACGAACAACAACCCAAAACATGGATAAGTACAGCGCAAGTGCCATAACTTTTGTACGGAGGACACTTAAGTGCCATAACTTTTTTTTGGCTCACTTGAGTGCTATGACTTTCAAAAAAATAATCACTTAAGTGCCACTTACGAGCTGGTAGTGAGAGCCCGAAACCGCGGCTTTTCCGGTCGAACGGTGACCTTCCTGGTGAGGCGAGCACCGCCAGCTTGAAGAGGGGGTGTCGGTGAATCATTCCATGACCTCTGTTCATCTCGAAATTTCTGTTTTAGCCTCCATTGACGAAGGTAAAAATGCTTCGTAGTCACACATTTATCGAGCCGATTTGTGTGACTACGAAGCATTTTTACCGTCGTCAACGGAGACTAAAACGGAAATTTCAAGACGAACGGAGGCCATAGAATGATTCACCAACACCCCCTCTTCAATCTGGTGGTGCTCGCCTCACCGGGAAGATCACCATTTGGCTGGAAAAGCCGCGGTTTCGGGCCCTCACGACCAACCCCTCTGACAAGCTGGTCGTGAGTGCCTGAAACCGCGGCTTTTTCGGTCGAACGGTGACCTTCTCGGCGAGGCGACCACCACTAGCTTGAAGAGGGGGTGTCGGTGAATCATTCCATGGCCTCCGTTCGTCTCGAAATATCCGTTTTAGCCTCCGTTGACGAAGGTAAAAATGCTTCATAGTCACACAAATCGGTTCGATAAATTGTGACTAAGAAGCATTTTTACCTTCGTCAACGGAGGCTAAAACGGAAATTTCGAGACGAACGGAGGCCATGGAATGATTCACCGACACCCCCTCTTCAAGCTGGTGGTGCTCGCCTCACCGGGAAGGTCACCGTTCGACCGGAAAAGCCGCGGTTTCGGGCCCTCACGACCAGCTCGTAAGTGGCACTTAAGTGATCATTTTTTTGAAAGTTATGGCACTCAAGTGAGCCAAAAAAAAGTTATAGCACTTAAGTGTCATTCATACAAAATTTATGGCACTTGCTCTGTACTTACTCCACCCAAAACACCAACACACAGACGGAGGGGCTGGGACTCGCACGAACCGGACAACGATGAAGTCCGGTCTAGCGAGCCTGAAACAAGGCACGAAAAGGGGTTGGCTGCACGTCCCTACCCAGATTTGGCCAAAAAGGCGCTGGCGACGAGAGGCGACAAGCTGGGTTGCGTTCCTGCGATGATTGAGAAGGCGACGAGCTGGGTTGCGTTCTTGCGGGTCGCGGCGCGCCGGCGACGAGAGACGATGAGCTAGGTTGCGTTCCTGCGATCGTGCGGCGACTGAGAAAGCGACTCGCAAAGAGAGAGATTAAGTGAGACAGAGGAGGCGCTTGCAACTTTAGTCTAAAGCGATGTTAGGGTTTTTTTTACATTAACTTAAAACCAGTTCTAAAACCGGTCCGGTTCCCGAGTGGGTATGCTTATGGTGTTGTAATATTAGCTTGGTCGTGCGGAATTCTACTATCCCGCGTCTTGGTTGTCTTTTTTTCGGGGAAATTTAGGGTTTTTCTTGTGTTGATTTGGTGTGGATTTTGAGCAGGCGCTGAAGGAAGGGGTGAGACAGACGGTGGAATTGGCGACCAAGTTTGGAATCAGCTTTGCGGACGGGAAGGCGGAGGTCCGGGGCGATCCGGCATATGTGAGGGCAGCTTGCGAGGCCAGCTTGAAGCGGCTCGACGTCGATTGCATCGACCTCTTCTACCAACACCGTATCAACTCTCACGTCCCCATCGAAGTCACAGTATGGATCCTCTCATGGAAACCGTTCCCTCTTTTAAGACTTTCTCCGAGCCGTATGATCAGTTGCTAAACTAGATTAGTGGTGATGATGCATCCTCATGGTGTTAAAAGTTTGTTCGATTTTGTGGAAGAGATTAACTGCTTGTAAGATACTGTTAACTGAGACTTAAGTTCAGTTGATTGTTGAGGTCCAGATGCGGCACGATGTTGTTAAAGAGGTCGTGGAATTTAGTAATTTTAGTGGCTGAGTTTGTCTTATGGGCATCTCTTGCAAGTTAAGGGTCAACGAGCATGAAAATTATTTGAAATGTTCCTTTGAGATGAAAGTGCTATGAGGTCATCCTAATTTAGATACGAGGATCACATTGAAAGTTGTTCCTGGACTTTCTGTGGAGAGTTGATTCTTGACATGTCATTGTGAAATATGAAAAATACTTGGAATACTTCTTTTATTTGCCCTCTTCAGTGATAAATTAGAGAAATCTATCCCCGTTAACTTAATGCCTAGCAACTTTTTTGTTGTTTTTAGATGCATAAAGATTGACTGATCTTTGTTGTGTTGTCATGTGAATGTTCAAAGATTGGAGAGCTAAAGAAACTCGTTGAAGAGGGTAAAATCAAGTACATCGGTTTATCCGAGGCCTCTGCGTCAACAATCAGGAGAGCGCATGCTGCTCATCCCATCACAGCTGTGCAATTGGAGTGGTTGCTGTGGACAAGAGACGTGGAAGCAGAGATCGTTCCCACATGCAGGTAGATAACCACTCTGTTAATTTGTTGATCCAGTAACAGCAGCTTTCTTCTGACTCTGCTCTTCCTTTAAATTGTTACTAGGGAGCTTGGCATTGGAATCGTTGCATACAGTCCTTTAGGACGTGGATTCTTTTCCGTTGGCTCCAAGTTATTGGAGAATTTCACTGAGAACGACTTTAGACGGGTTTGTTTCTGCTGATCAGCATAACTAGATGCTCACAGTAACGGTCATTCTTGTTGAAGTGCAGGGAACTACGAGTTCTTGTGGTATTCAGAAAAAGTACCTGGATGGGATGGATAACAATTGGTGACACAAATGCTTTATATTCTTATGTGTCCTCTCCAGCACTAGCCCTACACCCACCTCTCTGATTCTTAATTAGCGTAAAATCATAATTAATGGCTTAATGAGCCTGAAAGATGCAGTGTAATATTTGCCTCTTCTTTTGACCAGGTCAAAAGACTTAGGCTGAAGGAAAAAAAGAAAAGAAAAGTCAAAAAGTGAAGATAAAAGGAAGAAGCAGCGGCTGGGCGGGAAAACAGAAGAGAAAAACAGAGGAGAAGAAAAGGAAAAAGGAGAGGAGAAAGGGAAGAAGAGAAAGGGAGGGTTTGTGCGCGCGGGTCCTCGCCGAGCCGTTCCGACTAAGTAACGCAACGACTAGTAAGTA